TTTTGAGTGTTTGATGGTCTTATTCAGTGATCCCGAAGTTAAGCAGTACAACACTCTCAGAAAAAAAGGTACAAAGGTACCTTTTCAAAAGGTACACCTTTGTATCTTATTTACCCCTTAAAAGGGTGCATATTAGTATCTAAATGGGCCAAAAAGGTAACACACAAGTTAGAGCTTGAACCTTTTTATTCTTAGTAGTTTCAATTATTTCTAAGCAGAACTATACTTGATCCTGTTTTTTTTTCTTATAAATGTTATATCCCGTTTTTTTCTGCCAGTGTCTGGGTCATTTATTGAATAAATTCAATATATGATTTATGATTTGTGTTTGATGGTGGTTAATCATTTACTTTGTTTGCATCAGCTTTGATGAGAAACTAACAAACTAGTTGTTTTTTTTAATAGCATAACAGGACTCTTTACTCTATAGGTATAACAATGGTTGAAATTTGGAGTGTACCATAATCAGATAGAAAATCTCACCTTAAGTTTCCGATGATAGTTGTAAATATCAGACAAATATGTTGACTGCTCAAGATATCTGCTCCAGTTCCAGCTCGGTAACGCCACCTGAGGGAACACAACATGAGTGATGGAGTGAAGGAGTGTTATCCAACTAATGATACAAACCACTTGTTTTTTAATCTTAGTAAAAAACTAGATCAAGTGGTTAGTGCATTGTTCACGTAAATTTTTGTACCTATGTTAGTGTGCTCTGAGTGGGTGGTTGTTTACTGGTCAAAAGAGCCCACATGACTGATATGATAAAGTCTCTGCCTGTGTCCCAATGTGCATACTATCCACCCTATCTGACCTAAATAGTACTAAAAATTACTAATATCACATAGAATTCAGGATGGATAGTATGCACATTGAGACGCAGGCTCTGTCATATTCTGGTCTGTAGAAATGTTTCAGAGGGACTTTTCACCCGATGCATCGTCCAGCAGGTGAAAACCATAAGTCTGGTCACTTTAAATAACAGCACACCTCTCCTCAGCAACACACGGTGAACACAGGATGAGGAATCATGTGTGTCTGGAACACGGGACTGAAACTTTTTGCAGTAAGCCAACACACTGATAAATATACATCTGCGTTCATTACGAAGAAAAATGACACAAAGACGCTACTTATCACACAAAGCATTATTTCAGTCAAATAAAGAGCATCAAATGTGTCGAGGATTTCATGTTACACGATAATAAAACATTAATACACGTGTGCAGTGGCAGTAAATGAGCCACTGTTGTTTATAACACACCCGCAACACGAATACTAGCACTAGCATCGATTCGTCTGCTAGGAGATTTGGGTTTTGTGTATAAAAACAGGTTGGTCTGCAAAGCTGTCATGTTGTTTCGCTTTATATAAGTGACATGCCGCATCAAAAGTATGTGTCTCCACCTAATGTGTCTGTATTATAAACATAAAACCGCCCTACATGTATAGAAACCCACAGAAAGTAGATATACACACCCTCAAAAACGAAACTAAAACAGCATTTGACCACTAGAGGACGAGAGTCGTTTCTTTTTTCTTCTAGGGTTTAGTGGCGGTTGACAAACAACGAGCTGGAGCATTACCGCCACCAACTGGTCTGGATCAGAATGTCTAATAAATCAATTATAACACATCTTTTGACTCCATTCACAGAAAATCTTTTAAATCACAACTACTTTTCAGCTTTCCCTAAGTTTTGGATCAAACGCTTTATTATTATTATTATTATTAGTAGTAGTAGTATTTTATGGATCAGAATGTCTAATAAATCAATTATAACACATCTTTTGACTCCATTCACAGAAAATCTTTTAAATCACAACTACTTTTCAGCTTTCCCTAAGTTTTGGATCAAACACTTTATTATTATTATTATTATTAGTAGTAGTAGTATTTTATACACATTAAAGCATGTCAACATATTCTGTTACACCAAATACACAAACGAATGATCTTTAAAAAAGCATCATATGACCCCTTTAATACATAACGTGTGCACACCACAAACAGTATGCATTCTGTATAAGAGCGCCATCTAGTGACATATCTAAGAATTCAACATTCAAAGAATTCTGAAACACAAACCAATACAGCTGCTTTAGGATCTTTTTGCTAAGTAAAAAAACAAACAAACTACATAACATGAAAACTGTGAATATATGACTATGTATGATGAACAACAGATGTAATTTAGACTTTTAATCACATAAACATTGATACAAATGCAATACAAACAAACACGGTAAACTAAAGTTCAAACATGCTGCCTTGATATTTAAAAAAATAAATAAAAAATAAAATCTGTTTTCCAAAACTGAACAATGAAGGTCTTTATACTCACAAGTGATAGTAACATTAAAGCTCTTAATGGTGTCAGTACTGCTGCTGTTTCTGCTGCTGATGATCTGTGGTTTACAAAATATATCTCTCAGTGCCATCTTTACACTATAAACATCAGTACAGACGAAACTGAGATCTCCACTGATTTTAGCAATGTGAGTGTCATTACAAAACCATCAAATCTCTTCTGTATCAACACCAAAAACAAATGAACAGATCATTTTAAAATCACTTCATGGATAATGGAAAGTGCTATGAATATATTATTCTACAGATCATAAAGATAGAGATGTGGGTATATGTCATGCCGCCATCGATACTGTCATGTTTCTTTATGTTTTAGGGCCCACTTACATGACCATAGCATTTTGGGGGCCTGAAAAAAGCAAGCTTTTGAAAATGGGTTTCTGGACTCCTTTTTAATGGTTAAATTAAATGGTATTAATCAAAAAGCATGTCTAATTAATTAAAATCATGAAACTTAAACAATTTAACATCAATTTATTAAACGTTTAACAAATATTACGTTTAGGGCTCTATGAAATGTTTTATTTTTTTATTGTTACCAAATTCTGTTTTAGCAGGTCTAATTATTTGAAAGCATAAAAACAAGTTTCATTTATTCTTACAATAGCCTTAGGATTTTTTGCTCAGAAATTCTGTGTTGTATTTACATTTTTGAAGGCATAAAACATGAATTTAATCTATCTTTTAAGTAATGAAAATTAAACATTTTATTTTTTGGAAAATAAAGGTAATTTAATATTACAATTAAAACATTGAAGACATATTGTAAGATTATTCCTTAAAAATAAGTTTTTAATTTTAGTAGTAGTAGTAGCAGCCTGTTACGTACAGTACATTCTACTCAACAATAGTAATATATTTCTGCCAATGCCTTCAAGTTAAAGGTAACATATCATGAAAATCTTACTTTTCCAGGTTTTAAGT